TCTAGAATTTCAAATGAAGCCAATTAAGATGCTTAAGCTTTCATTTCACACGGTCTACTACACTAGGCAGTACTAATGTCCAAGGCTGAGTCTGGGATGAAAAAAGGGGAAAAGCCCTGCAATATATGGAAAGAATATTCTTTTTTTTACTTTCTTTCTTTCATATTCTCTCTCTCTCTCTCTCTCTCTCTCTCTCTCTCTCTCTCTCTCTCTCTCTCTCTCTCTCTCTCTCTCTCTCTCTCTCTCTCTCTCTCTTTCTCTTTCTCTCTCATAACCCTAAACCACTAGCATCATGGGTCTGGTTCTTTACTTGGTGTTAGCTTAAGATAATGTCTCCAAATATCCTGAGGATAAGAGGTGTATGTTGACATCTCTCAGTCCAGGCTTTTCCATCGGACAGATTGATTTCAGTGGGTTAGAGTGGGACCCAGGAATCTTTGGAGTTTTTTGTTTATTTGGTTTTTGTTTTTTCATAACGCTGAGGATTGAACCCAGGGCCTTCATACTAAGCTATCTCTCCAGCCTTTTTTTTACTTTTTGAAACAGAGACTCACTCACAAGGTTGCTAAGTTGCCCAAGCTGGGCTTGAATTTGTGATCCTCCTGTCTCAGCCTCCCAAAGAGCTGGGGTTACAGGCATGTGTCACGTGGCTCTTAAAGTAGTGGTTCTCACTGTGTGGTCCCTGGACCAGCCAAGAACTTGTTATACATGCCAATTGTCAGGCTCCAGCCCAGAGCAGAACCACTGCCTTCTGGAAACGATAATCAGGCAGTGAACAAAAGTCTCTGAGAAGACCCAAATGCTACTCACCAATGCACACAGCCGCCCACACACACACACACACACACACACACCCGCAAGCCAGCAAGACTCAGTGTGGTGTCTGCACCTCATGGTGTTAGGGAGCAGCCACAGAGCTTCCGGGCTTTGGGGCAGGTAAGAGGCCCCTGCGGAGCCTTGCAAGTTCTGGCAGCCTGGGAAGCACCTCAGAATCCAGCCTCGGAGGTGGGACCAGGCACCAGCATTTGTTTAAAGCACTCAGGTGACTCCAATGTACAGAGAAGTAAGGAAACTACTGCAGCAGCACCTATCAAATCCCTGCCACAAAAGATAACAATTTCTAAACATAAGCGAGTGAGGGGCTAGCTGAGTATAAAGAGGGCCCGGTAGGGAATTTTCTCATTTATCCAGGGCTTCAAAGGAAGTGTTTAGGATCGAGGGCGCCTGGGACATGATCCTTGGTGAGATAAAAAGATTAGCCAAGCAGTCACTAGAGAGCATGGAACACACCTGCCTCCTCCTGCCGGCTTCCCAAGGCCCCAGAAGACAGAAAGAAGGTCAGGGCAGGAAGTGTAGGAGTGAGCACTCATTCCTCCGCTGGGCCCTCTCCAACCTCGACAGCACTTTCATCAACCTCGGTCACCTTGGAGGGGCTTGGCACAGGGTGCACAGTTACTGGGAAAGACAAGGGTGAGGAGGTGGGGGCGGGGGGGAGCGAACCTTGAAAAGTCCCTGGACGCCAACCTCAGGGCCTCCCTCAGCCACCTGTGCATTTAACCTCACAGAGCAGCTCCACTTTGCCAGGGCAGGTGCACTGGCCCCAGGCCACATCTATGAGTGGCAGAAGTATTCATGAATCAGGACTGGAAGCTCGGGATGGATCAAAGATGCCAGGGAGCAGGAAAGAGATTGAAGGAACCCAGGGCCTGCTGGGTCAGATGCACAGAAATCCACCTTACCGTCTGGACAGATGCAGGTGCAGGTCTGGGTCTGGAGGGAGGAAGGGGTTTGCTACAGAGTCCAGAGCAGGGCTGAGGGAGGTGCACGGTCAGGGAGCTTGGGCAGCAATCACCTACCAGTAAGCAGAGGGATTTCCGCATTCCCACAGCCGGTGGGCAACATCAGTGCGCGGCGGGGCAACGCCATCCCTGGTTTAACCTGGAGCTGACACACAACGTAAGGGTTTGTGGTTTAGGATACTTACATTTTTCAGAGCTCTTTGGTGTCTTCTTTAGCCCACCCTTAATGAGGTCCCAGATGTCTCAACTGGGCCACAAGCACAACCACGTCTAACTGCATCCCTGAAGACATGGCTGGCCCTCCCCTGGAGGCCCAACCTGGGGCCACAACATTGACAGGCTTCTCAGGACTCCTTTGTCAAGTCACATAGAATCTGATAGCACCTGCCATGGGGGAAAGTTAAGAGTACTCTCTAGGTCAAACTATGGCAGATGTCATAAAAACATTTGCTTTCCTTTCCCTTCCCTTTCTTTCCTAGTCCTTCCTTTCTAGAAAGAGTGTGCATTATTTCTGAGTATGAGAGTTAAGTCCTGACTCCCCCTCTCTTTCTATCTCCCTCTCATTTCTTTTTTTTTTTTTTTTTTTTTTTTGGTACCGGGGATCGAACTCAGGTCCTTGGGTCTCGAAACCACTGAGCTAAATCCCCGGCCCCTCCCCTCTCATTTCTTTAAGCAGTTAGGAAGGGCAGGGCAAACTAGAAATTCAAGAATAGTCTAGGTCTATAATTTACATCAGGGGGTCTCAAAACCTGTTTTTGGTTTGTTTGTTTGTTTCTTTGTTTTAGATCTTGTCATTCCCATTGGGAAAAGTTTAAGAACAATTCCCAACAGACATACAGCTATTTGTTTACTTATACATTACATTCATGTACCTTGATCATTCCCTGATAGTTTAAATCATGATCTACAAAGAGGCCAAGGTTCATTGTTGGTGATGGGGGATATCGATCCATTGCAAAGGGGTCTTCTAATGATTTCCAAGTCATTTTAGCTTCTTCTTCCAGACACACCTTGCTCTGTCATTATATTTACTTTGAATGAGGTGGACAAAGGGCTGGCCCAAGTAGTAGAAGTGCCAGCCTTGGTATTTTCTCATTTGCCTGAAGGTAATGCTAGTATGACAAGCAAAACCAGAAGTTGTTTAGCAGAAACGCTTTCCAGCTACCACCCTCCTTCTTGAGGATGTACTAAAATGTAGATGATACAAACCAGAAGCCCATACCGCCAAACACTCATGTCACACAAGATGCCTCTGCCTGCAGAAAGCAGCTAGACCAGTGAGGTGGCTCTGCGGGCTAAGGTGTGCAGGCACTGGTCCCCAGCACCTCGGGGCTTGGAGGCTCCTATGTCATGTGCCAGCAGCATGAAGCACACAACAATCTGCATGTCAAATATTATTAAATCCTGATGCCTCTCTCTTGGGGAGGAAAAGTGACTTAAATGAACTAAAGCTGTAATATAAACATATTTTCTTTCCGCAGCACAAGCCATTTCATGTGTGAACACTATTTTGGACCCTGTCTGTTTTTACCTTTTGCTTGTCTCCCTGCCCTCACTTTTTAAAAATTTATACTCACCATTAGCTTTTGCCTGTGTTCTCAGTAAACCTTTACAGAATGAGAGTGCACATTCCTGTGTGCTGAGCACAGAATGGATATGACAATCTGAATAAGGCCTCTTTCTCTTGGTGACCATCTTGGTATCTTTGCTAGTCATGTGTTTGGCAATTGGTAAACTTGAGGTCCTGTCAGACACCTATACCTGCACCTATGTTCAAGGTAACATTCAGAATAAACGTGAGCTAGCATTGGTTAGCAAGTGAAGCTGAAGTATTTAGACTTTAACAAGATGTTAAGTATCTACCAAATCAGATGAAGATCGGTGATAGAAGTATAGCACCATGGCACTGCCCAGGATTGTTTGAGCTCAGCAGTTTGAGGCCCGCCTGGGCAATATATAGCAGGACCCCAATTAAGAAAAACTGGATGACAAAACTCTAATCCTAGGTTTTATTCTTTTTTTCTTTGTTTGCTTGTTGAGACACTATATGCTCCAGACTAGTCCTGAATTCACTATGTATCCCAGGCTGGCCTCAAATTCACCATCCTTCTTTCTTAGCCTCCTGACTGCTAGTATTGGTTTTATTCCTATGTGTGGAAAAAAACACAAAAAGTCCAGAGGAAGATTCTCTAAGGTTATTATGGGCGCCTCACAAAATTCCATGGAACCCAGCAACTTTTCTACAATGTGATCCTCAGCCCTGTGATCTAAGATGGCAGCTGGAGGGCCCACCGTGGCCTTAAGGACACACCACAGGAATGCTCCTACTACCATGTCCCCTACGCCTCACTGGCCAAAATACAGTTACCCACACACGGGTGGGTGGGAAAGGCAGGCACTGAAAATCAGGAAGAGGGCGGGGGATTTAGCTCAGTGGTTCTGCCACCTGCCTCGAAAGTGCAAGGACCCAAGTTCAATCCCCAGTACCAAAATAAATAAATAAATAAATAAACAAACAAACAAAATAAATAAAAATCAGGAAGAACAGCAGTCTTTACATTTGCTTTACAAATTGAGATTTTTCATTAGCAAAGTACAGAACCCAGTATTAGAATTGCATTCTAGACTGTCAAGTTTTTTGGTTGGTTTTTAAAATTTTGTTTTAGTTTTTGGTCCACTCAAAGAGCCATTATCTATCACTACCTGGGGGTATTTAAGAATTATCTTGGGGATACACTGTATAATACAGAAGCCCTGGAAAATATCTCTGGGAATGCACAGTTAATATTAGCCACGTGTTCAGAAACAATGAAAGACAAACTTTTTGTGTCTAATGGAAACCTGCCATGGCTTGATACAATAAGTAGCCTCCTCAATAAGAACATAGGCTTTTGAAAACCTGATCCTCCTTCAAATGCTTGAAGGAAGTCAGCTATTTAATGAAACCACTGTGAATTCTGGAAGGTAGACTTCCATCTTACAATGTGAATAATCATACTCTACACATCTATATTAGAATTTGAAATGTACATGTATCAGATTTTCCTAAAATCATCCCATGGGTGATTTTAGCAGACTAAAAGAAGGCCTCTAACACAAACTCAAATGCAAACCTCATAATGGGTCATTATTTCTCCTTTGAAATCTCATCTCAGTCACTTCCTCAGACAGCCCACTGGTCAGTGGGTTTTGCGACTTTCCCACAGAACCAAGGCCCACAGCTGGAGCCGTGGCAGATGCTGAGTGACAATCTTCCTCTTGTGGCTGAACAGGAATCAGGTAGGGAATTCACTGTGCTGTGACACACACTTCTTATCTTTCAGATGCCAAATGTCCAAATACTGCAAGAGGCCACTCAACAGAATAAGATAGGCAGTGACCCAATCATGAGCTCCCCCTGCTTCAGGGACCTCCTACTCCAATCAGAGGGGCTGTAGAGCCTATAACTAGTCAACAAGAGCACAGAAAGTAGGCAGCTTCTCCCTTCCCAGGCCTCACTGTCCCCCAACAAACCGGGAATGCTCACTCACTCAAGTCGACACGAAAACTTCAGGAATCTAGAGAGTTCCACTGAGCTGAAGAGGAAAATGGCTAGGGGACAGGGTTTGCATTTATCTGTGTACTTTGTGAGTAATGGAATTACCATTTCGAGAAGTGTGGTTTTCAAAGCTGACACCATGTGAGGCCATTTGCCCATCCCACCACCATTACCTCCAATCCATGAGGAGAGGAGAAACTTTTATCTCTCTTTTATTTTTCCCCCTTCTGAATTTTAAGGGAAAGAAGAAAATTATAAAGTCAAGAGACTTCGTATCCCCTGAGACATATATATTTAAGCTGGACCAAGTACTACCCTCATATCACAGGCAACAATTTTGCCCTGGCAGGGAAATGGACTAAGTGACTTAATGGATATTTTCCATCTCTAATTTCCATGATTAAAAGAAAGAGGTTGAGAGGGGTACATGTGGAGCCTATTGTGAGTTTGCCAATGAATCCTAATTTAGATCAAAGAGAGTCTATGTGACACTGAACCATAAACACCCTAGTGTGCGTTACTTCAAGGAAGTTGTTAGTGTGTGCCGATGGCTATTATGTGATATAGTTGCGCTCTATAGCCTGCACCCTTTAATTACTAATATAGAAGAAAATCCCATATAAGAGGGAGGAATGTAAATGAGACCTCTGCTCTTTTGAACCTTTTATGCATTTGCCAAATTAAAATTTGCTGTGGACTTTGGTTTTTCCCTGATCGCTGTTGGTAGTGATCAGTTGGCTCATGGGATTAAATCTGACTTTCCAACAACTATTTCCGATCAGTGTGCAGATTTCAGACCTTTATGTTTGCTCTGCATTGAGACATGGATCATCAGAACCAGATTGGGAACAACTTTGAAGTTTTCAAAGGTATGGACGAAATCCTCTTCCATTCTCATCTTTCCTTCTGCTGATCATTGTTTAAGTGCAGGTTGGAGGGCTGCAGCTGCTAGCGGGGCCCAGGGAGTCCAGAACACTCGTGCCCCACCTGTGACCCATGGATAGGGTTTCACACAGAGGGCCATGCTTTAGGGATGGGGTCTAGATTGGCAGGCACAGACACACTCCCTCAAGCAGAGGTTGCTCACACTAACGTTTAAAGCACAATTCAACATGAGGACAACCACAACTATCAATGGGAACCACGTGATTTTAGTGGTACTTCTTTCTCTAGGATTCTTCTGCCCTCACCCCACACGCAGAAAGAAAATTGATAACAGCTTTTCACTTAAATTGAGAGCTAAGTGTGGGACCAGGCCCTGTACAAAAGCAAGGATGCTTTTAGACAGAATGACTACTGACAGTGTTAGCCATTCAGTGAGAGGTGCCATGCCCAGTACTGGATCTTGTTCAATAAAGCAAACTCCTTTTCCATCTGTCTCGTATTCCAAAGAGATAATAATAATAAAATCATTGCTTAATGAGTAAACTAAGTAGAGGATAATTCCCTGGTAGATCATATTGGTTTGCTTCTCCAAAGGATGCCATTTTCTCAATGAGGCAGAGAACACAGGGGAGAGCATGTGCTCATGCACAAATAGGGATGTCTAAAATCAAAACCCAGCACAGCATATGTCAGTATTTAAAGCCTCATCAAAGAAACATCCAACTTTTCAGCTGTAACCCAAATATAAATTTCCCTTACCCTGTCAATTAGCAGATTACAAAACTTCTGTAGCAGGAAGACCATTCTGCCAGCAAAGCCGTAGTGTTTGGAATGGGTCCAGGTCAGACAGATGGCGTGGAAAAGGGTGCAGTGAGACGTTCCCTATCAGCAAAGTCAACTGTTCTTCCGTGCAGCAAACAGAACCTTTGAAGGGCTGAGCCACAAGGTGAAGCGCAGCTCTCACACAGCTGGAGAAGCATACAGATGTCCCAATGCACCAAAAGGAGACAGGACAAACACAATAGTCTGGTGAGGGAAGCATTTAAATAGGAAAATATGCAAAACATTAGATAATTGAAAACCTTGTTCTTTGGCACCTAAAAAGTCCCTACCCACCCATGCTGAGCTGATGAGCACAGAAAGCAGTCATAACTTCCCCAAGTGTGGTGTGATTGTTTAAGCCAGGATAATAGAGTTCTTGCTTTCTTTGGAACACGGACTATACCACGTACAATCAAATGATGTGACTGACCATGGGGGGCGGGGGGACATGTGCTACACTGTGTTAAATCCCACCTGTCCACGTCACAGTCTATTTGCAAAACTTGTAAATGGCCGCTGCCCAGAAAAGCTTGGTTCAGGCATTGATGGCTAGTAAGTTTATTTTCCTAGGAATAACAGTAACAGCTCCCTGAATTTTAAAAGACAGGATCTTGCTACGCAGTTCTGGCTGGCTTTGAACTCACGGCGATCCTCTTGCTTCAGCCTCCTGAATGCTGGAATTATAGGCATGTACCATCACACTTGGCCTTTAAAAATGAATTTTAAAATGAAGAAACTCTAATTGATGATTTTTAATTTCTTTTTAAATTTAAATTCCCTTTCATAAGGAAATTATAGTAGTTTTGCCAGAGAGGCAAAACTACTTCTTCATTAACTTAAAAATATTTAGGTCGGTAAGAGTATCTTTGTTTTTCTCTCATTAACCACTTAACAGTTTACCCCAGCGTCACTCGGGCAGCACGTTTGTTTACGTACCGACTATCCTGAGTATCTCTTGGGCAGGTGTCATTTCAGCCAGTCGATTTATGTATGGAACAAATTTGATAAAATTGTCATTTTTATATTTCTTGTTATCTTGTAAAAATCAACAAAAAATATGCAATTTTTGGTCATCCTGTATTTAAATAGTTGGACTGGTAAGTGGTCAATTTGATAATGATTATCTTCTAAACAACCTTGAAAGGTGAAATTCTTCTCATCTCAAAGAAATTAAAGATCCAAGAACAGAATCGGGCTAGATTCTGACAGTAACTCGCAGTGCTGCTATTCCCAATCCACAACCCTGCCGCAGAGCTCTGCGGAAGGAGGTGGCTACTCATCACAAGATCTAAGTCAAACTTTGTCTTCAGTAAGGAAGTACCACCCACTACTTCACTGCCAGGCAGACCAGTGACCTAATGCAAAAGAGCTGGCTGTACTGGTGCAGGAATTTCTATCTGGGCTCACTCCAGCTCTTGGCTAGTGGAACACAAAGCAGTCTGTGCCCATGCACAAGTTGGAGTCCTGCCTTTAAATTCTTCCTCAAAGTGACCCTGTAGGACCAAGAACCTGGTTGCCCCTTGAAACAAACCTGAAAGATGGTCATCGTGCTTTTGATTTTTCACGGTGTCCTTCCACCCACCAAATCTTGATTCTTTTCCTTCTGCTCTTTCTTGTCCACCCAGCCATAGTGGCTTGGTGGTGGTGGAGCTTCCTTTATTGAGGTACAGGGTCCAACAGAGGTCTTCCTATTTTGAAATCCTATAGAGTGGAGATACTGAAACCATTATCCTGACAGTCCTGGATTTAGTTTTTTTCAGTTGCTTTAGCAAATGTTAACCCTGCCTTCATATAAAAGCTGGTTTTATTTGTTTGTTTCTTTTGATCTGATCTTGACCAAACAAAATAGGAGAGAAGTCAATGCTATGCACTGTCTACAACAGACCCAATTAAAGAGAATGTGGACCTGGCATTGCATTTGGTGCTATAGGAATTGCAAAACCCAGGCAAGGTTGACCTTGCCAAGCCTGCAGTGGCATTTTATGATTAGCACTACTGTTTTCATTTCAGAAGGCCCATAAGAAAGACAATCCATTGATTAAAACAACAATTAACTTGGTCATCAGTTCAAATTCTTCAACCCAGGCCCTTGCTCCATCTCCACACCCCATGAAGAGGAAGGGGAAAAAACACAAAAGCCTCATAGAAGTAACAATTGCCTATTTTAATGTTGGCAACTTAAAACTGACAATTATGTTGTTAATTGACAGTTATTTCAATGAGTTGTCATCCGTGTAGATTGTTCAGATTAGCAATGTTGGTTTTGCATTGTGATTAAACCACTGGGTAGCTGCATAAAAACTGCTGTATTCTATTATAGATACATTCTAACAGTGCAAAAGAGGAAAAGGGCCAGCTCTCCCTCAAAGATGCAGATGACTTGGAAAAGAGGCTGGGAGGTACAAACTCTTGCTGAAATATGACTTTTAGCAGAATTCTAGATTTGAAATGCAATGTTTAAAAAAATTTCTTTTTATGTAAATAAAGTATTAATTAGGAGAAAGTGACAGCTGGCAGCAAGGCTACGAAGCATGCCAAGGCAGATACTAGTAATCCCAAGCAGGAGGCCGAGAAGGACCCAGTTTTGTTGCTGGAACTCTCAATCCCAGGACAAGTGTCTATATAGTGGATAGCCACAAGTAGATATAGCTGATTTCTTATCAGGACTAGAAACCAGAGCAAGTAAAATCCCAAAAAAGGGTTTCCCTCTGAAGGTAAGATTTAGAATAAATTCATAGCCCCAAACTAGACAGCTTTTGTCAATACTACATCTTTTTAAAAATTAAAGATCTAAACAATTTTATCAACATTATATTTTTTAAGTGTTAAAAATATATTTTAATATATACGTTTTATGCCTTTTTTTTTTTTTTTTTTTTTTAAGATAGGGCTGCTATGTTGTCCAGGCTGGTCTCAAATTCCTGAGCTCAAGTGATCCTCCTGCTTCAACCTCCTGAGTAGCTGGGACTGCAGACTTGTGTCACCCTAACCCAGCCCTTGTGTGTGGCTTTCAAACCTTGCAAAAACCGATCGAATTCTGAAGTTTTTCTATTGTAAGCTATGACCACTTAATTAGTAATGGGAAAAGGCAATCTTGGGCAACTGCTGGCAGCAACTCAGGAAAGCCTAAATGCTCCCTCCTGTCCCAGGCAGTGCTGGGCACAAGGTGGCAGCTGCCCAAGTCGTGGGCAGAGGGCCCTGCTGAAACTAAACAGAGTCCAGAGGCCATGTCATAGAGTTTGGCATGAATGTGGATGAAAAGCATCCAAGTTGTCAAGCGTCTCTTTAATTCCTCTTAAATTAAATCAAGCTATTGAGACTGGCAATAATTTTTGTGAACCTGGAGAAACATTCTTCTTTGTATCAACTGTACATACATTTTTAATCCACATTTTTGTGTTAGTCGCATCTACACAACATTGCCTGCACTTGCTTCTTCCACCATCCCTTGCCTGCTGCGGGCGGGCTGACGTCACGGGTATGGGTGGGTCTAACCCACAGAGAATGAGTTCCCTCTCTGCTGGCCCTAGGACTCTAACGTTCCTTCAGGTAACTACCGCTCAGGGACACCATACTCCAGTTTGGATGGGACATCACCACCTTCCAGGCTCCAGAGCAGGCATGTGACTAGTCAGGTTATTTCACACAATGACAATCCACCTTAGAACTTTCTCTGGAACTTCTGGCTGGGCAAAAGAAATAAAGCATTCTTCCTTTGAGGGTTCTTAGGGAGGAGGGAGAAGGTAAGCTTGGAGATGCTGGGCCACCTTGTACAGAGAGCCTGACCAAGAGACAGGCTTCCGGGAGAGAAGCAGTGTCGGGGTACAGAGGCATAGACTAGCAATTCAGTACCTATGTTTGTATGACGGTTGAGCAAATACATTGCACGTAAAGTCAGCCAGGTTTCTCACTGTTGATAAAAGAAGTTTATAAAATGGAAAGAGGAAAGGCTAGAATGAACCTGGAGATCTTTGGACTGGAATTGGAGGTATTATATGAATTTATGGTACTTTTTAATTCATACCCAGATAGATACAACAGAAATACAGATGTGTATACAGGCATGGGTTAGTATACATATGTTTCCCAGCTCTGTCTCCTGAGAAGGCTTTGATGCAATAATGTTCCAGTAGCAATGAGCACCATCACACCCAGGTCTGGGGTTCTAAATATCTTTCTCCAATAACAGGAACCAGGGTTCCTTGGAAAAATGAATACTTCTAGGGCTGGAATAGAAAAAACATGAGTCCATAGACCTGTCCCTGCCCACGGTGACACCTTTGTCTAATTGGTTATGATGTTGGTTAGATGTCTAATTGGATATCTTTGTGCAGTGATTTTGTAGTGGCAGCCTTGCATCAGAATAATTCTCAAGCCTTTTTCACCCATGGAGGATATGTTGATACTGCCGCTTCCACCTTGGGAAACGTGACAAGAGGCGTCATTGCCTGCCACCTCAACTATGCATCCAAGCTTGGAAGTGGCTGGAGGCAGAGGATGGGAAGCTGTCACACAGGAAAAAGCCTTGCAGCATCAATTCTCTTCGGTGACAGAGCCACTGGAACAAATTCTACTGGACATTTTTGTGACATATTATTTGGGGTGATTAGAGGTAAGGGTCAATGAAGGAAAGAATCCTACTCAGTGAAAACTCAAAAATACACCTTTGACCCCTCTCTTGACTGCTAAGTTATTTACTGCAGAAATGACTACAGTCAAAGTTAGGGAACATTTTGACTTTGTCCAAACCCTTTTCAGCAGCTTTTCCTCCAGCTAATAGTCATAGCCAAGGCTCACTTTGGGCCAGTGGTGATTTGGTGTCTCCCTAGGACTGATGCCAGCTCTATGGTGCACCACACACCCTTGGTGGAACCAAATGAAAGCCAAAAGTCCACTCGGGTGACCCGCATAAGCATCTGTCTCCTTTTTTCTTTCAGTATCACAAGCGGTGACAGAATGCAGATTTGGAAAACAGAAGAAAAGTCCCACTTAGACAACTTAAGGCACAATCTGCTCTTAAGCACTTCCTCCCAATAGCGTGCTGCTGTTCGAATATTTGCACTGGGCCAAGGTATTGTGTTTCCAGATGGGCCAAGGCAAGCATGTGACTTTGGAAGGATACCACATTTAGTAGCCCTTTCCTTGATTGTGAAACAAATACTGACTGCTGTTACACCTAAATTAGCCCTCTATCAAGCTAGAGGAAATAGTGCTAAGCAAAATAGATATGCAGTTCACTGACTCTGACCTTTTTATCTGCCCAACTCTTTTCCATCTTCTGCTTCAGTCACTCCTTCAGGAAGCCAAGCCTTCCATGAACCTCAGGTCTGGTTCAAGGGGCCCCTTTTGCATTGTGACATTCTGTGTGTGTTCCCACGGCACCTTCGCACTGAAAGAGAACTCCCAGTGCCCAAGATTTCACAGGGGACAAAAGTTAACTTACATGTTTCAAAATCTCCTGTCATTTTCATTTCAGTTGTAAAAGATCACATATAATACATGTAAAACATCATTCTTAGGGCCAGGGATTTAGCTCAGTGGTTCTGCTGCCTGCCTTGCAAGCATAAGGCCCCGAGTTCAATTGCCAAAAGAAAAAAAAAGAATTTAAAAACATCATTCTTAAACACTACTCAAAGGGAAAAATTGATATTCAGTGCACAAAATCTGGAAAAAATAAAGCCTATATCACTTATAATGGTAAATGTGGTTGTGGATCATGAATCTAGTCTAAATCACTAAAATCCATAAAATAATTATAACTTGTTCATAAAACACCTCTTGCGAGACTTTGTAAGAAACTTAGGAGGTAATGAAACAGTGGATAATGGAGAGAGCTAATTAACTCTGGGAAGGCCTTGATAGGTTCTGCTTTATTATCTTAATTAGGTGGCTCGTGAACAATGTCCTCCCAGTCATACACCTTCACCTGCCTTTCTAGTAGTGATGGCCAAAGACCTAAAGTTCTTTCTGCCACTAAACTGACACATCCAGATTTTACGCTTAAGCTTCACAATGTACCTTTTTAGGTCTTCCGGTATGTTCCTGGGCCACCAGATAGAATGATTTCAGTAAGCAGATCCTATCTTGAGAATTAAGACTGTTAAGGCCCAAGTTCCATGTTCAAAATTTGAAATTAAAGACAGACCTAAAAGTGATAGTGATAGATGTGAAACTAGAAAGGAGAAAAATTTATCAAGTAGACTAAAAAAAATCTTTCATGTCTAATTTCTCTCCTAAAATATGGTAGTTTGGGAAAAATCACAGTATCTTAGATTTAGAAAGCCCTTCTGACAGAGATCTGTCCTTGCTTTGTTTGTTTGGTTTGTTCTTTTCTTTTCTTAATCTAATAGTCTTGGCCTATGTCTTCGTTTCCCAGATCCATTAGCCACTCTGTATGATCATGGTATTTCTTATCATCTTGTGCTCTTGACAAAAGTAGAGAGGCAATTTTCCGGGACAGTGAAACATTTGATAAATAATAATAAATAACAAATGGAACTAGTTTTAACAAGATAAAATGAGATTACTGAGTGTCTAGGCTTTATAACTATCCATTTGATTTCACAAAATAATTCAAAAGTAGAGAAATCCACTAATTACTGTCAAAAACATATTAAGAAGGCTGGGGATTTAGCTCAGTGGTTCCACCACCTGCCTTGCAAGCACAAGGTCCCGAGTTCGATACCCGGTACCAAAAACAAACAAAACATATTAAGAAGTATTATGGCAAATATAAAGTTAGTAGGTTAACTTATAGAAACTCTGCTTTCTCTGTATTTTCTTCCAGTTTCCATGCAGTACTTACTCTGTTCACAGTACTCTTTAAGTACTGTGATAACTTTGAAGCAGGAAAAATAATTACCATATATTTGTAACAAAAGGTGTACTGACATTGATGCTGTGATTATATGTCATCATAAAGAGTGTTATAAAAGGGGCTGAGGATTTAGCTCAGTGGTTCTGCCACCTGCCTCCAAAGCACAAGGTCCTGATTTCGATCCCCAGTACCAAAAACAAACAAACAAACGAAGTGTTGTAAAAGACAGCTTGCTTAAAAATATGTACGAGATGCCTTGGGGACATTGTCAGGGACAGCAATTTGGTAGTTGGAAAATAATTTAGGCAGCAAGCAATGTGGTCTGCTTACCCAAACCACAGAGAAATTGTAATTAAAAGGGGGAATGGAAAATATTGTAGGTTTTGCTCAGAATAAAAGGGGGGATAGGGACTTTTCTTAACTATAACCTCTTGTTACAAATATCGGCATAGGGAAGCACTGATGCAAAGAGCATGAACAGAGATCTTTCCAGACCTTTCCTTTAACACCTGGTATGCAGATAAGTAAGAGAAGACCAAGATAGCACATGAGGCTAGAGAATTTAAATACTTTACACTCTTTCATAAAACCCTGTACTACTCCCTCCTTTGTCTCTTAGCACAAGTTAACATCCAAGTAACAGAAGGAAAGAAATGGAAGATAAAGAAATTTAACATTAACATAAAAAAGAGAAAGAAGTGTTGAAATAAAACATCCTTTTCCTTTTCTGCTTTCTCCAGGTTGCTGCAGAAATAGCAGTGGAGATATATGGTAGGGGTGCTAGGGAAATCTCCATGCCCTTTACTATAATTTATTTCACTGGAGTTTTTTTCTTCATAAAGTTCAAGGTTTACTTGAGACGCCCCAGTTCACACAAGAATATAAGCCCAAGTTCTTAAAAAAAGAAAAAAAGTCAGCGTAACTTACTTATATTTAACTATCTATCCTTGGTCTAACGCCACCATGCCATACTCAAGACTAGAGGGATGAGTTATTTTCCCCTCTTTAAGGTCAGGCTCTCAAGGGGAGGTATCACAGGTGAAATGGAGGGCGCACGTGAACCTAGGCCCCTGGCTGCCTGCACACTGGCCAGCCAGGAGCTGAGACCTGGGATGGGCTGTCTTCCTACTACAGCTGAGCCAGCCAAGAGCGAACTGATTGCGCCTGCCTGCCAACCAGGTCCTTGCCTAGAGCTCAGGCTGACTGTTGCAATCAATCCATGTTTCTTCTGGGAGGGAAATGGAGAATAGGTCCTCTCCATCCTATCAGTGGGCCTCTGCTCTACGAGGCTTGGGAGGTCTCCCCACCTGACCTGGCTGGGCTGCCCCTTTTCCAGCTGGGGTTGCCTCTCTCCTGGTGGCAAAGGTGCACTAGAAGCAGCTCAGGATGGAAGAGAATGCAGGGTCAGCATGACCCCAGGCACAGCAGGTGCAGGGCCCAGGCTCACAATCATTTAGAAACCCATGAAAATGTTTTTTCTTTTAAAATCAGGAGAATTGGCCAGGTAAAGTGGCAAATGCCTGTAATCCCAGCACTCAGGAGGCTGAGGCAGGAAGATTGCTACAAGTTTGAGGCCAGTCTAGGCTACACAGTAAGTTTGAGACCAGCCTGAACTACATAAGCAGGACCCTGTGTCAAAAACAAAACAAAACAAAATAAATCAGGAGAATCGTAAATCCAGCAATTCCACTGATAGGTATATATTAAAAAAAACTGAAAACAAACATGCAAATACTTGAATGCAAATGTTCATAACAGCACTATTCACAGTAGCAAATGTCCAACAACTGATAAATGGATAAATAAAAGGTAGTATATACATACTAAGGGATATTATTCAGCTATAAAAATAAATGAAATACTGATATATGATATAATATAGATGAATCTCAAAACATGTTAAGTCAAAGAATCAAAATATGAAAGACCACATATTATATGATTCCATTTATATGAAACATACAAAAAATTCCACTGGAAAAAAAAAGCTTAGTTTCTTGGTGGCTGAAAGGACAGGCTAAGAGGGAGTGATTGCTTAATTTCTTGTGGGATCATATTTTGGAACTAGATACAGGTGGTGGTTGTACAACATTATGAATATATTAGGTACACTTTAAAACGGTTAATGGTACAATGTGGTGACTACACTTAATAACAATGTACTATACACTTGAAAATTGCTAAGAGTAGATTTTAGGGGTTCTGAACTCAAAAAAATAAGTACATGAGATTATGTATATGTTCATTGGCTTGATTTAGCCACTCCACGGTATATACATATTTCAAAAAATGTTGTACACCATAAATATATAATTTTTTGTGAATTAAAATTTTTTGGTACCAGGAATCGAACTCAGGGCCTTGCGCTTGCCAGGCAGGCATGGAGCTGCTAAGCTACATCCCCAGCCCAGTTAAAAATATTTTAAGTAGTTGATGGTTATTTTTATGCCAGGTGAATTTTATCTCAATAAAAGAAATGAGGACTGGGCTAGAGATTTTAGCTCAGTGGTTCTGCCAACTGCCTCGCAAACTCAAGGTCCCGAGTTCAAGCTCCGGTACCAATAATAATAATAATAATAAATAAATAAAAAAGAAGTGAGGGCTGAGGATTTAGCTCAGTGGCGCTGTGCCTGCCTCACAAGCTCAAGGTCCTGAGTTCAATCCCTGGTACAAATAAATAAATAAAACCCCCAGATTGCATGTCTTATACCAATACAGTCATAAAATATAATTTTTTAAAATGCATAAAGGAGTCCATATGGCAAAAATGTTCAGAGGCCACAAAAGCCATAATGCAGGGCCAGGGATTTAGCTCAGTGGTTTCGCTGCCCGCTGCGCAAGCGGCAAGGACCTGAGTTTGATCCCCGGTACCAAAAAAAAAAAAGCCAAAATCCAGCTCACAGAGGTGAGCCAGAAGGAACATGAGCTATCTGAGGAGTAGGGAAGGTCATGTGGCTGAGCCCGGCCACTGCAGGAGAGACTCACCAGAGAGAGCCTGGAAAAGCCTCGAGGCCCAGCCAGGCCCTGGCAAAGACTTGAGGTACTGTGTGAAGAGCCAATCAAAAGTTTCCAGAAGATGATTTTTTTAAATAGAGGATTAAACCCAGGGCCTCTGCACTGAGCTACATCCCCAGCCCTTTAAAAATGTTTTAAAATTAATTTTTGCATTACTGGGGCTTGAACCCAGACCTTCACACTGAGCTACATCTCTAACCCTTTTTTTATTTGTTATTTTCACTGTGAGATAGGGGCTC